GCTTCAAAGTGAAGTGAAGATGGCAGTTGGCAGTCTTTTATAGAATCTCGTGGAGAAAAAAACAATGAAACGAGTGGTCGAAGGATAGAAAACAATAGAATGAGGAGGAGGAGGAGGAGGAGGAGGAGGAGGAAAAACAATAGAAATGAGGAGGAGGGAAAACAATGAAAACCTGTATAAATGCGCAACATTCTAACTTATTCTCAGTCTCCATTTTGCTCCTGAGGAGTTGACATGAGTTGGTTCTGTTGTGTCTGCCAAAAATCCTTTAGTAGAAAAGATAATATGCAAAGGCACTTGATGTCTAAACACCGCAATGCTAGTCTCACCCCATTTCAAACAGTTCCAATGTTTTCACAGAAATGTCAGCGGTTTCGCTTCGAGCATCCTTTCACTTCTATGATTGCCGGAATGACCGGGTCCGGAAAAACGGCCTGTGTTCGATCTCTATTACAACAAGCTTCAAAGACCATTTACCCTCCCCCAGAGAGAATCGTTTGTTGTTATTCACCATGCCAGCCTGTGTATACACAAATGTTAGTCGCCATGTCACACATTGAATTCGTCAAGGGAATTCCTACGGCTTTGGAGCAGGATTCCTATTTTGATGTGAACAAACGGAATTTGATCGTGTTTGATGATCAGATGATTGACGCCAGTAAAGACAAGCGAATTGTGAACCTTTTTACTCTTGGTTCTCATCATCAAAATCTGAGCGTGATTTATATCGTGCAGAATCTATTTCATCAGTGGAAAGGTAGCCGCAGCATAAGCCTAAATAGCCATTATCTGGTGTTATTCAAGAATCCACGAGACAAATTGCAAATCTTGACTCTGGCGAAGCAAATGTATCCCGGGCAGACGGATTTCTTTTTAAATCAGTACGAAGAGGCTGTGAAAAGACCTTCTGGTTATCTTCTGATTGATCTGAAAACTACTACCTAAGATAATTGTCGGTTGCGAACAAACGTCCTGCCCAGTGAAGAAGGCTTTAACCAAGCAGGGTTTCAAGAAAATATTGCTCAACAGCTTCTAAATATCTGAAGCAGCAAACTCTTTTGCCTGTCCCGCTTCTTCCAGCTATGCAAGAAATACAAGGCAACATGGATGACGTGCATTTTCGAAACGATCTTCGGGACGATGAGAAAGCTAAACGATACTTTCAGTTGCAAAACAGATACCTGGCTTTTAAAGAACAATTAAATACAAGAACACAACCGAAAGAAATAATCAGCACTCTTACAGACTTAAAATAAAGGACACAAGATTCTTCGACAGCAATGACAGCATTCTCCACTCCCCTCAACCCCTTTAATGTAGCACCTGAATTAACACAAGCGATTATCTCTTAAAAACCTGACAAAGAAAGCCTCACCCCTCCACCACCCTTAAATCCTGCTTTCCTGACCCCACCTCCCACAGTAGAAACCCCATCACAACAAGGCCCGAAGCGCAAAAGGCGTCGGATTCAATTTGTAAATTATTTAACAGCTGAGGAAACGTCGGCATAAGAAATTCAAACCTTACAAGTACTCCATGGGCGAAGAAGATGAAGATTAATTAATTTCCATTCCTTACAAATCGCTTTGTATTTGACTCTTTTTGTCATTGTTTTTAATAAAGTTTTTACAACGGTATCTCTCTTGACCCTTGTTAATAAGACATTTACCAGCGGGTAAATGCAGTTAATGGAGCATGAAGCCCCAGGGGGGTAGGCCGAGAAGGCCTGCCCCGTCTTAGGCTCAACGATATCTTGAAAGCCTGATTCATTAAATGAAAGTACTCTATTCTTTAAGCAGAAAACAAAAGCTTTTCATGGCTAGAACCTCACTAATTTGTAGCATGTTTGTCGTCTTATATTTTCTTAGCTTCGCAAAGATTTGTCCCTTTTTTCAAAGCCCTATTCAGTTCTATTCATGGCTAGACCTTAATCATGATAAGTTGAGTTGTTTATGGTACAACTGTGCCTATTGGCCGTACTTTGAGACACTGTCTGACTATAAAGCTTTGCCGATGCCACTCCTAGTCATTATTTCTTTAGCATGCACGAAAGCAATCATTTAACATAGTTTTGTTATGGCTCGTCCACGTTCCCAGCCCGCGACATCTCGTCAAAGTACCGACCTCTCAAAGCTTTCCAGCGAAGTACTCCGGCTTCGCTTGCAACAACTGAATCTTCCTGTCAAGGGAAACCACGCTCGCCTGGTCGAAAGGCTCCGTTCGGCGAATGAAACCTGCCAGCTCTCTGCACCCACACGAAACAAACGGGCTGATGGTCGAGTGGCTAAGAGGTCATCCACCTCGTCGAAGCGCTCCCAACAGGCCGCACGGAGTCTCAATCGTCAATCCGCCACATCCAACTTGGCTTCCGAACCTCAAGATCGAGATCAAGTCTTGGACCACTTCCTAGAGGAGGAGGAGTCCTCCACAAGCGACCTTTTTGGTGAATTTAAACGCAGAACCCATGGAGTCCATGGAGCTAATTGATGCTGTTTCTACCCCGGCTCAACTAGCGGCGATCAAGGACACGTTTTCGTCGACTGTCCAAGCAGCGTTTCAATCGCTCCCACACAATGACGTTATCCCGCCTGCTCCCGCGTTTTCCAGCGCTCCAAGTCCTCGTGTTTCTTCTGTGGCGTCTCCGAACGGCCTCAGTCGTCCCTTGGACAAAGCACTCGAGGATAAAATACTCCGCAGTGAGAACGTAGATTTCTCTTTGCTTTTGCCAGAAACACTGTACCAGACCCAGACCCCCTCCCTACAATTGCGTTATGAGGACTCGCCCCAGGCTCCTCGGGCTCCCTGCTTACTGTTGTTAAACGCAAGAAACCAAATGCAGACTCTTTTCAAAAGTGGTTGGACGCGTTTATGGCGTACATGCTGGTCATCGTCACGGCCTACCCCAACCGGGCTGTGGAGCTCATAAAGTATCAGCAGATCATTAGCTGCGCAGTAACTAAGTTCAAGGGATTAGCGTGGTACACATACGATGACTACTTTAGACGCCTCGCAGCTCGCGATCTTACCATCGCATGGGATAGGATAGATATTGAACTTTGGACGGTGACCTTTACGGGTACCGCTAAGCCCCATTGTTCTATATGCTCTAGCCACTACCACCAATCTAATGACTGCCCCCACCAAGAACCCAGCAAAAAGCCTCGCCGGTCTGCCCTCGTTTGCTTCGATTTCAACAAAGCCTCAGGGTGTCAGCGACGTACCTGTCACTTCCCGTACAATTGCCGCCGCTGTGGATACAGTAGTCACGCACTCTTCAATTGCCCCAGCTCCAAACAGCATGCCAAACGCACCAAATCAGCAACCCCGAGCGATCGCAGCAAAAATAAAGTGGAACAGCGCCAGCGGAAGCAGAGCCCAACAGTGTCCACCCCTCTTGATGTAGATAAATTAGCGCTTGAATTAGTTAATCACCCTAATCGATCTTTTGTTGATGACTTAGTTAATGCTTTCAAGTACCGGACTCGCATGGGTTACCTTGGTCCTCAAAAATTCCGGGTATCCAATAACTTGATCTCCGCTTCCCAACACCCCGAGGTTATCACGCAAATTTAAGCAAGGAAATGTCGTTGGGTAGGGTTGAGGGCCCCTTTTTCTCGCCCCCACTCCCCAACTACCAGTGCCATCCTTTCAGCGTGGTGCCAAAAAAGCACTCCACGGAATGGCGCACTATCTATCACCTATCCTATCCCCCGGGTGACAGCGTAAATGATCATTTTCCAAAGGACCCTTACTCTCTCCAGTATGTACAGGTAGGCGACGCAATAAGCATTCTGAAGTCTTTGGGTCCCGGGTCCCAAACCGACCTTAAATCGTCGTTCCGTATCATGCCTGTTCACCCGGATGATTGGAACCTGTTGGGTATTTATTGGCAATCACGTTACTATGTAGATCTGTACCTCCCTTTTGGGCTCCGCAGTTCACCCTTCCTCTTTAATCAAATTTCTGATGCCTTAAAATGGATCTTAAAACACAGCTACGGCCTGGGTCATGTTATCCACATCCTGGAAGACTTCTTTATCGCAGAGTCTTCTAAGCTGGTCTGCTTAGAGAACTTTAGTACCCTTTTAAAAGTGTTCATGTCCTTCCAGGTACCAATAGTAGCAGCCAAAACCCTGGGCCCATCCCAAGTCTTAGAATTTATGGGGATTGTGCTCGATAGTACCCGCATGGAAGCTAGGTTGCCAGAAGATAAGCTACCTCGGATTAGTCAGCTCCTTGATTCCTTTAGTGCCTGCCGCTCAGCCCGTCTAGTGGACCTCCAGTCCCTTATCGGCACCTTGCAATTTGCCCGTAAAGTAATGGTCCCCAGGCGAACCTTTCTCCAGCGCATGATCAATCTCACCAGGGGTGTTCCCAGTCGTTTTCACCATTTCCGCTTAAAACGGGCACCCCTTCTTCCTTGATTCCTTTGCTACCTCCTCGGGATCTCGCACCCAATGCCGACCGGACACCTTTTTTCATCCCTCCTTCGTTCATGACCCTCTGAAGGATGAAGTCATACGGTATGCTAACTTGGCCTTATCATGGAACACCAAACGCGCCCTTACATCCGGAGAAAAGCGTTTTATCTCATTTTGCCTTATGAACAGACTTATATCTCCAACAGGTGATATTTTACCTGCCTCAGAGGGTACACTTATCCACTGTTTTTCATCTTATTTAGCTCTCACAGTTCGACATTGCACAATCAGGATATACTTAGCAGCCGTCAGGAATCTACATATAGTTTCAGGTTACAATGACCCCTTACAGGGCAAGCTCCTTTTAAAAAAGATTTTAAGGGGCGTTCTTCGTTACCAGTGTTGTCCTCGTATAAGTCGTCAGCCGGTCACCCCCCGGGTCGCGTTTGCTATCCGTCCCGTCCTTGAGAGCTGGTTGGATGTTCGGGATTTTTCCTTGATCTGGGCTGCATTTACGCTAGCCTTCTTTGTTGTAGCGAGTTTACGTACCCGGGAGCACGTAATTTTAGCTCTCAGTTTAACCTCACCGTTGATTGCATGACTTTCTCACCAAGTCTGGCTCGCCAGCAGCACATGCTTGTCAAACTTAAATCGTCTAAAACTGACAGTTCTAGACAGGAGCAATCTCTCGTTGTAGCGCGGTGCTCTTCTTTATTGTTCCCCGTTTCCGCTATGCAACGGTATTTTATGCTTGCCCAGCCTCGGCCTGGATCCCTTTTTTACTTTCAGTCTGGTCGCCTTCTCACTCGGTCCTCTGTTACGCATTTACTTCAGGATTCTGCCCGCTGTGCGGGACTCCCATACGAGAGTCTAAAAGGTCACAGTTTTCGTATAGGCGCCGCGTCTGCTGCGGCCGCTGCGGGCTTACCAGACTGGTTAATAAAAGTTTTAGGTCGTTGGTCCTCGGACTGTTATCAACTGTATATTCGCACTCCCGAAACAGTCGCGCTTTCTGCTGTTCCCAAAATGGCTCGTGTGTCAGGGAACTTTATTAAGTTTTTTGTTGTTGCTTGGGGGGGATGCATTGCATGCATCTGCGTTGCGACTTCCCCGAAGCTTGTGGCATTGCTTGTATCTTGCCATCTTTTGAGCTATTCCTTTGCCTTAATCTTGTCCGATCCAGCCTGTGCGGCGCTGGGGAGATAAGAAAGGCTCTGCCAAGAGTCTTGTCCTACCCCACGGTAGTGAGGCGATAAGTAAGGCTTGTCTTATTTTGTGCGCATAACCCGAAGTCGCTATAACCTGCCACAGGGCTGTGTCCCCCCCTTATTACGCCATCATGTAGTTGTTGTTTATTTAGCCTGCTTGCGTCATTTACTTGCGTGACGTTTGCATGCGTATCTTACAAGCGGAATAGTGACATTAAGTTATTTAAAATTGTTTATATAATAATACGTCAAGATCCTCCCTTGGGTCTTTCCTGTAGAGCTAATTTGTATTCAACTTTCGGCTTGTGAATTCGCATAATTAACTGACTAACGGTGCGTGAAACTCTGAGACTTTAAAAGTTTTTTATTTCCTCGGGATAGAACGGAGAAAACGGTTCTGAAATAGCCACGTGTCTTCGGCCTTCGGCCGACGAAATGAAGCTCCCCGACGCACGCGAGAAAAAACCTCTGGTACCCAGGGTAAGCTACGGCAGGATCAAGGTAGGTGTGTTTCAAAAGTTGTTCAGTGATGGCACGGCGGGTTCTTCCTGATACACGGTAAGTCTTCGGCTATTTGAATTTGTGTTTACCCATTTTTAAGGTAAGGGACTCATTTCATGAGGTGTTTTTGTCATATTTTGTGGTTGGACTAGTTCCTTTTTTCGTGTAAACGCCTTCTCATCACGACTGGTTCTCATAATTATAGAGGACACGAGTGTACAAGCTCAGTTAGCCAGCTTTTGTCCTCGCCGAAGCGTAGTGGACAAGTTCCACTGTCAAAAAGTGACAGTGCATTAAGGGAAGAGTTTTTGACATTATATAAGCTTTAACATGCCTGTAACCCTTTTAATCTGACCGCATATTATTGGAAAAAAATTCCCCACTTCCATTTATAGTACAGGCCTTTAATCACTATTTGATATAGCGATTTTGTTTGCAGTCACAGAAACCACGACTCCCGCATCTCCACCAGAAAATTCCACTGGCATTAACAAAGTTATTTACATTTCACTTGGTGTCACGTCCGCTATTTTGCTGTTGTCGGTCGCTTTTTTCGTTTGGTGCTACAGAAGAAAGAAGCTAAAGACTATTGAAAGGTTTGTGGAGCTCTGCTAATGCGTGGCTGGCGGTTTTTCTATTTGCTTCTTTTTTGACTTTTTTCTTTTCAGTGGTTTGTAAACTAAGAGATTCAGGTGGGCGAAAGCTAAACCGAAGACGAAAAAGAAATGATAGGGAAGGGGGCGAGGGGAGAAATAAGTGAGAAAAACCTCCTATACTAAACCCCTTGAGATTTTTAAAACGCTCCTTCTAGTTTTTATGAAAGGATGACGTGACACGTTTTGAGGTCTGACGTCAGCCGACAAAATGTCGCGCCAAACCTTTTTTTGTTTACGATCGGTTAATTAAAAATTAATAAATGAGGCTGAGAATCTTATGAAGAATTATGGAGATCGAGGAGGGTGTTATTCGTCGAGGCCGTAGGATAAAACCCTCCGAGATGTCCATAATTCTTCATATGATACGAAAGCCGAATTCAATAATTGTTTTATTATTTATTCAAAGTAATTACTAGTTTAAAAACATAGCTGAAACATGCTTACCTGCATCGATATTAGATTCACCTTCAATACTGTACGTTTAGGTTTCTCCAGCTCCGCATATACTCTACAAATAGCAAGTGGCGCCCTCCGAGTTGTCTTCTTGCTGTTTTTGCCATGTTTTTAGCTATTATTTCGCCTAGTTCCAGCTGTAGTTCTTACTCTTGAAACGAGTGAAATGTCCGCCATTTTTTTCACAATCAAAAACAACTCAATCTCGTCCCCAGGTCTTCTCGGTTAAAGGTACTTTAACCTGTAGAGGGCTGCATTTTTGACATCATTTCCTCGTTAAACACAAAATTCTTCCAAATTTGGTCATCAGTAACTGGTTATGGTGAATTATGAGTGTGCTTTTAGCCAATCAGAATCGGGGAAATATTTTCAATGAATAATTGCGCTTTTCTGGTAATTGTTCTCTCCCTTCGCCCCCTCTTCCATCGTTTTCTGTTTCGACCTCGGTTCAGCCGTGTTCGCGCGGCTGTCACTCTCACTTTCCAAGCCACAAAATAAATTAAAAAAAAAAACACACACCAAAGAACCTCCAGCTATGCTGGCTACATAAACACGGAAATAAATCTAACACTAAGGAAAGCTTTTGTTTTGTCTTTTTATCTAAACGTAGCGATTAATCTTCGCTCCCAGTAACGTTATTGGCTAAATTACATCACGTGTCAATAAAACCGACGTAGTGCACCTGCCAAGATGACAGATAACATTAACTAGAAGTCAAAACCATTTCTTAATTTGCAATTCTTCTGAAAAATAATCAAAGAACTTTTTCATTGTCGAAAGATGCATGGAAAAAAATTGAAAAATCCTACGAATAGTCTGATAAAGACGAATTTTGTTTTTAGATACGCCTAAAGTGAATTAGAATGGAATAAATTCTTTTTTTTTTGTAGTCATTGTTTGTAAAGGATGGTGCCCTTGACTAAATCATCCCTTTAAAGAAAAAAATCAGTTTATTTTATCCCCACTCGGCTATTCTGATCTAGCTTTTTTTCTCGAGGAGAACATCTCAGCCTCGGACATTATCCTCTGATGCACCAGTAGCCAGGTGCAATAATTTTTGTTGTTGGTAAAGTTTACAGATATGCGAGTATATGTTACTCATGATATTGTGCTCAGCGGAATAATCCGGCATTTTTTTCCCCCTTTTTCTAGGTCACCTTATTCACAAGACGAGATTACTCCTCCTGACAAGTGGGAAATTCTGCCTGAGCAAATAGAGTTTGAGGAAGAGCTGGGGAGAGGAGAATTTGGTGTTGTTTACAAAGCAAAATTTAGACAGAGAGATGAGATGGAGGTGTTGGACAATGCGGAGACTTCAAAATGGCCTGTATCATCCGCAAAGAAAGAAGCACAGGTGGTGGCTGTCAAAGTTTTACATGGTAAGAAATACTGACTTTTATCTCCATAGACAAAGGCATAAAGTCTTAACTGCCTTTCAGTCCTCTTCAGACTACTGTAAGAACCCTTTTGGATTTAAGTTACTCTCTGGGAACTTTAAGAACGCAAAGAAAATTTAGCAGAAAAAAAAAACTCGGCCCTTTTCGAAGACGTGATCGCATGATATTAAAACAAATTACACTGACCACCTAAAGACATTACGTTTTTAAAATCGGGATTGTCTCTCGTTAGTGAAGAGCACGGAAAAGTTGGAAGTGTAAGTGATTTGTGGTTTCTTTATTCACTGTGTAAGTGTGAAAAAATAAATTAATGCTGTCAATTTCCAAAAAAGTAGGTTTTTAAAGCCTATTAGCTCTAAAGAAATGCATCTCTTACGAATTTACATCTCCCAAAACCAAAAAAAAGTAAATTGATCTACAGAGCCTGAATTAAAGCCAATAATGAAAATAAATTTAAAAAATGCAGCCTGTAGTCAACACATGTATGAGAACTCTTTCTGAAGGATCGGATGCATTTGATAATTTGTCTCCCCTTTTTGTGATCCATGTTGCCCAGGTTACACCCCAAATCATTTGATAATGAGGAGAAGGGAAAAAAAATTATGAAACTGAGCTACGACATCACCATGCTGAAGGCTAGACCCAGGGGGTACTCTCTTATAGAAGTTATACAATTGTGAGCGGGGCCGTAGGACATGGTTGCTGACCCCTTTATTTATGAAATTGGGAAAAGATTTCCACGATTTGGGAAAAACAGAAACAGATAAAACGTGAAACAGGATTAGGTTTTGCTCTGCCTTGTACCAGGTCTGTATTTATTTTATTCTGTTTTATTGTTGGTTTATTATTTATTTATTTATTTTCCTATCTATCTATTTTTTTTTCATTCGCCTTTTATGAACAGCGGTTTAGGTAGTGAGGGAAACCACATAGTCACATCACACCACCACCGAATTTTCCAGGAGTACCTCCCGGGGCTGCTGGGAGGGTGCAGTGGTAAACTAAAAATAATAACAAATGTCTGAATATTTCTCGATATTCTATTACACGGTAGAATCAGACATCTGTATATACCCTTGTGCGTTAGAGGATGAGTGGGAAGCGGTAAAAATGGACGAATATGTTTTTCATATGAAACATTTTGCACTGAATAATGCTGAAAAATAACTATAATAAAATCAATGTCATTTTATTTAATTATCTTTAGATAATCCATCTGAAGTACAGAAAGCGGAGTTCACGTTTGAGATTGAACAGATGAAGCTGTTGGGTTCACATAAGAACGTTGTATCCATGGTTGGATGCTGCACACTTCAGGAGAAAATGTTCCTGGTTACAGAATACGTTCCGTGTGGTGACCTGCTGACGTGGCTACGCCGCAGAAGAAAAAAGGTATGGACATGACCAATTATACAACTAGTTTATAACGAAATTATCAAGAAACAGATGTAGGGAGACAACATTACGAATATATTTTGGTACTATCAGAACATTTTGTACAACTTATTCGAGCAACTGCAGTTACTTCAAAATTATGAAAGCACATAATGATAATACTAACAATAATAATTATATTTTTGTTACTTGCTTGATGTTTAGATCAAAGACCTTCAAGCTACCGAGAGATGTTATGCTGACAAAGAGGTTCTGAAAGATCACGGAGAGACCAGAGATCATGTAGGCTTGTATATAAACTGTAGTTTAACTTTCCATACTAGCTCTGTCTTAAAAACGTTTATTATCCAGAGTGCTTGTTTGTTTTATGTCTGGTTGACCTACTGTAGCTATCTAATCTACCCATCCGATTGTTATTGAATGGTTTGCACGTAACGTAATCATAATTCAAAATAAAGAATTATTTATCCTTCTGAGTTTCAATTTAGTGAACTATTAGAGCAACTGAACACATGTAATTCTACAAAGTTTCAGTTCGAAAGGGTTCTTCATTTTGACAGAATACGTTTGAATATTCTAATTTAGTACATACACACTCAGTGATCTTGGTAATTCAAGCAATCTGATTGGTTAGCTATTTCGGACTATGACGTTATATTCACCGCGCTAGGCGGTGAATATGTAGCAGAACGAAATCGCTGTCGTGAACTGGGTGTTTTACCAAAGTTTCATAGTAAAGCCTTTTTGAAAATACACGAATATTCATGTGCTGATGACTTTAAAGGCAAGGAAAGACTTCATGGTGTTTAAACAGCGTGATTTATTGTGAAGTTGTTTATTGTAGCTGACTTTTTGTACGCTCGAAGCTATCTTTACCACTACAGAGGAAAACGAGGTCGCTTTGTCACTGTTTCGTGATTTCGGGATTTTCTCAAAAGACCAATTCTACCTATGAATAGAAGTTAATTGTGGCTATATGGCCGGTAACCGGTCAAGGTTTTCAAAACACTAAATGGCCGGCAGTCCTATATTATCAGTAAATTTCACAAAATCGAAAGATTCTAGCTAATCTAAACTATCATATGTCGATTAAGACAGGTCAAGCGATCCTGAAATGCTTTATAGATCTCAAGTCTAGTGTTTGCTTTACGCTGGGCTCAGAAGACGAAACCGTGTTTTGGGTCACATAACTTTTTTCAGTTCGACTGCCGGTCAAGGTTTTCAAAACACTAAATGGCCGGCAGTCCCATATTCTCAGTAAATTTCACAAATCGAAAAAATTCAGCCGTTCCGAACTATCATAAGTCGTGATCCTGATCAAAGTCTCTACGCGTTAGTTCCCTTCTGGAGCTGAAATACACTTCAACATTATCTTGTCGACGTTATGATGAAACAGCTCAGCTCCAGAAGGGAACTAACGCGTGGAGACTTTTCCCGCCGGTTTTCCTCGGGTCAAGATGTTATGACGTCAAACGTCGCCTGTCACGCCATGCTTTGGACAGAAAATAGTAACATAGTAACGAACATCCAAAGACTCGAGACCAACAAAAACATGATATAGAAATACCACAAAACCGGCTGGTTTGATCAGGATCACGACTTATGATAGCTCAGAACGGCTGAAGCTTTTCGATTTGTGAAATTTACTGAGAATATGCGACTGCCGGCCATTTAGTGTTTTGAAAACCTTGACCGGCAGTCGAGATGAAAAAAGTTCTAAGTGTCACAAAACACGGTTTCGTCTTCTAAGCCCAGCGTAAACCAAACACTAGACTTGAGATCTATAAAACACTTCAGGATCGCTTGACCTGTCTTAATCGACATATGATAGTTTAGATTAGCTAGAATCTTTCGATTTTGTGAAATTTACTGAGAATATAGGACTGCCGGCCATTCAGTGTTTTAAAAACCTTGACCGGCAGTCGAGATGAAAAAAGTTCTAAGTGTCACAAAACACGGATTCGTCTTCTGAGCCCAGCGTAAACCAAACACTAGACTTGAGATCTATAAAGCATTTCAGGATCGCTTGACCTGTCGTAATCGACATATGATAGTTAAGATTAGCTAGAATCTTTCGCTTTTGTGAAATTTACGGAATATGGGACTGCCGGTCATTTAGTGTTTTTAACACCTTGGCCGGTTACCGGTCATATAGCCACAGCGTTTCGAAAATTGTACGTGCCAGCAAGTTAACGAGGCAAAGAACATTGGAGATAAACAACGCTCACCTTGGTCGTAGCCGCTGTTGACAGCATTTGCAAGAAGCGACAAAGAAAACTTTTTCATTCACGGTGAGTTGACAGAAACAAATAAAGCTCTACTTTTCTTCTCAGAATTGGGTAGAAATTTAAATTTTGGGCCTTTTCTTTTAAACTGTTGATGCTAAAGCTTACAAAACTCGATACAAAAAGTTTAAAACTATCATTTGCCATGTTTAAAGATGCTGTAAAGATCTAACTTTTGCGCATCCACTGTTTACGGTTTCGTGTTCACGCATGAATTCACCCGTCAATCAAACTAATCGTTTTTTATTGGTTTCCTTTCTGATTCTGTTGAGATCACTTGGTGTGAATATACTAAAACAATTATTCACCCAAGGCTCAGTTAATATTGTTGAATAATTATTTAACAATATTAACTTCGCCTTCGGCGAATAATTGTTAAATATTGCGTGACGCGACAATAATGGGGCAGCAAAATCTGTCACGTAACTGTAATTGAAAGAGTGACATCTTTTTTTTAGATTTTTTTATCTGAACAGTCCCTGTTTTTTGAATAAGTATTAAGTTTAATGTTTATGAGCTGTCTTGAGATGAGCACTCGCTTTATGGCAATGTTTCTGTTAGTTTTCGGTCGCCATATCTGTGTTCCTCAGAGGGACACCAACATGGCTGGCGTCTCAAAACAAAGCTCTATAAATTTGGGTAACACATTTCTACGAATACCTCGCAAACGAAAAAACTGCACAGACCTGAATCGTAGCAAGACGTTTTGCATAGATTCCTGATCGAATTTACTCATTTCCACACAGGTCATTAAACTTGCTAAGAAACAGATAAAGAAAGCAAAGAAAATACAATTGAGCATGGAAATGACCCCATTACTACGAGATGACAGCAAGGGCACAGCGTCGACTTCTTATTATCTCGGTGACAAAGTATGAAAGAAGTCTGCCAGGAGAGCTTAAAGATTTTAGATGACGTTTATTTCTACTGTATATGGAAAAACTGCTTAATTAACAATTAATGAATGAGGCTGAGATACGAAAGCCGAATTCAATAATTGTTTTGTTATTCATTCAAAATTATTCCTAGATTAAAAACATGGCTAAAACATGCTTACCTCCATCGATCATCGATGTTAAGTTTATCTTCGATAGTGCACGTTTAGGTTTGTCCAGCTCCGCAAATATTCTCCAAATAGCAGATGTCGTCCTTCGAGTTGTCTTCTTGCTGTTCTTGCCATGTTTTTAGCTATTTTTCGCCTAGTTCTTACTCTTGAAACAAGTGAAATGTCCGCCATTTTTCAAGTTCACAACCAAAACAACTCAACCTCGTCCCCAGGTCTTCTCGGTTAACGGTGCCTTAACCCGCGAAAACGCTGCATTTTTGACGTCATTTCCTCGTTAAACACAAAATTCTTCCAAATTTGGTCATCAGTAACTGGTTATGGTGAATTAAACGTGTGCTTTTAGCCAATCAGAATTGGGAAAATATTTTGAATGAATAATAACTCAACTTAAACGTGGTTAAGGCTTGTAGCTTATGAAAGGAATTCTCGTATAATCCTTGTAATCCTGACTAGTGCAATCGATAGAGTCGATAATTTAACAGTCAATGAATGAGACTGAGTATCTTATGAAGAATTATGGAGATCGAGGAGGATGTTATCCGTCGAGGCCGTAGACCGAGGCGGATAACACCCTCCGAGATGTCCATAATTCTTCATATGATACGAAAGCCGAATTCAATAACTGTTTTATTATTCATTCAAAATAATTCCTAGTTTAAAAACATAGCTAAAACATGCTTACCTCCATCGATCCATCGATGTTCAGTTCATCTTCGATAGTGTATGTTTAGGTTTGTCCAGCTCCGCAAATATTCTCCAAATGGCAGATGTTGCCCTTCGAGTTGTCTTCTTGCTGTTCTTGCCATGTTTTTAGCTATTTTTTCGACTAGTTCTTACTCTTGAAACGAGTGTAATGTCCGCCATTTTTTCAAGTTCACAACCAAAACAACTCAACCTCGTCCTCAGGTCTTCTCGGTTAACGGTGCCTTAACCTGCGAAAACGCTGCATTTTTGACGTCATTTCCTCGTTAAAGTCAAAATTCTTCCAAATTTGGTCATCAGTACCTGGTTATGGTGAAGTAAACGTGTGCTTTTAGCCAATCAGAATCGGGCAAATATTTTGTATGAATAATAATAACAATTAATGAATGAGGCTGAGTATCTTATGAAGAATTATGGAGATCGAGGAGGGTGTTATCTGTCGACGCCACCCTCCGGATTCAATAATTGTATTATTATTCATTCAAAATAATTTTTAGCTTAAAAACATGGCTAACTCATGCTTACCTCCATCGATCCATCGATGTTAAGTTTATCTTCGATAGTGCACGTTTAGGGTTGTTCAGCTCCGAAAATATTCTCCAAATAGCAGATGTCGCCCTTCGAGTTGTCTTCTTGCTGTTCTTGCCATGTTTTTAGTTATTTTTTTGCCTAGTTCTTACTCTTGGAACGAGTGAAATGTTCGCCATTTTTCAAGTTCACAACCAAAACAACTCAACCTTGGACCCAGGTCTTCTCGGTTAACGGTGCATTAACCTGCAAGAACGCCGCATTTTTGACGTCATTTCCTCGCTAAACACAAAATTCTTCCACATCTGGTCATCAGTAACTAATTATGGTGAATTAAATGTGTGCTTTTAGCCAATCAGAATGGGGGAAATATTTTGAATGAATAATAATCGATAAAGAGCGATTGATTAAATTGAAAATCGATAAAAATTAATAGGGGAAAAAGTTGTTGCTAATCGATAATTATCGACTTTACTCGATTTTTATCGAAGTTGTCAATTATATATCGGCCGCTTACTTACTTAAGTTTAACATGGGCAAAGAACGTTGTTTCCGAACTTTCGGCTTTGGACGGTCAAATTTGTAGCGAAATTTTTGTTCACAAATTACACTCAATATTCTAGCTTACGAAACATTTTCCGCCAATCTACAGGATAAAAAAGAGTTATAAACAACTGATTCAGCTTGCTTGTACTAGAATCTGTTCAATTTGAACCCTACAATGTATATAGTTCAGGTAGTGAGGATAATGTCCAGTGAACAGTTTTTCAGCAAGACCCTTAAATTGCTTCTTCAAAAAGCATATTGGAAAGGATCATTTAAATCGCTCTGTAAATATGCAAGACAAAGTAGATAATGAACTCCGCAACTAAATGGAAAGAGAAGTAGCATGACCATAAAACACGATAAAAATATGAGAGAAAATCATCATTTAAAGCAGAAAACATCTGCGTCTTGTTAATATTATTTTTTTTTAAGTAATGCATTTTTGGGTTTTGAACCTGAGAGGCAATCGATAATATCGTTAAATTAGTTAAAAACGATAGCGCTGACAATTGATTTCCTGATATCGGTTTTTATCGATTGCGCAAGTCAAGTGTAATATGCAAAAGTTGTCTCTTTATTTAATGATCTGGGAACCGAGAAGCGCCTCTTTATGAAAAGAATTAGTTTACTATAAAGACGTTTAGAAAAATCAGAGAGAGGTTTGGGGATCAAGTAGGCTTATCACAAGACTAAATTTGGTATTGAATATTTTACTGATCAGGCCTACTAAAGATCCAGCTGATCCTCTCTGGTTTGTCGTTGTGGTTGTTCCTTCAAAAGTGTTTCTTATACCACAAAACGTGATAGAGATAAAAGTTGTTGCTAATCGATAATTATCGACTTTAATCGATTTTTATCAAAGTTGTCGATTTAATCGGCGCTTACTTAATTAGGTTAACTGCGTGACGCGGCTTTTACATGGTAGCCTGCACGCAAGCTCTCCGGGGCGCTCTGGCGACGGGGCGAGAAAAGGAAGGAGAGCTTGCAACTACGTCTCTGGAATTTGAATTCTACCTCCAATTCGCATGTGGCTCCCCGTCGACTGAGCTGTCAGATTTCCACCAATCAGCGCGAAGCGGAAACGAGCGCGATTGTAAACAAACGAAAAGCACGTGCCAAGGGTAATGGCGTCATTACTAATGTCATCTCCGCCAATCAGCATTTCGTATCGACTTATTCTTTTCCAGAGACATAGCTACAAACTCTCTTTCCTTTTGCCGCCCAGCCGCCAGAGCACCCCGGAGAGCTTGCTCGCAGGCTATTTACATGGCGGACGAGAGAGCTGCCATGAAGGCTGAAAAAGTGACTCTGTTGGTGGGATTTTGCTATCTGAATGGTCATTGTATTAATGTCAATGTTAATGAGTTCCTCAAAAGATGAATTCACCTTTAAGTAGCACAACTCCGTGACACATGTTTCTGTTGGTTTTCGGCTGCCATGTTAGTGACTATCCGGATGGGCACCAACATTGCGTTTCCAGATAAAGCTCTATAAATGTAGGTAAAAAAATTCGCCGAATTTCTCGGGCATGAAAAATTTCACCGACCTGAATCTTGGCGAGGGCATTTGTACATTTACCTTCTTTCATTTCCCAGATTCTAGACTTTCTATTAGACGGTTTTGATTTTTATTTTTAATAGCGTGACAGTGAAAACCTGCAATAGCGTTACATTTCTTCTACATGTAAATGTTATCGCCATTTTCTTTAATCATTTAGCAAAGTTTGGCTGATGAGTATGAAGTTAAGGAGGATCAACATTCTATGCACCAAGACCAAGAAGACATTGCAGTGTCTCCGCAACAAAGCAACGAAGACGCCGTTCTTGAAGTGATTCCATCGACTTCCACCGAAGTAGATGTAAGACGAAAACAAAAACACCATAATAATTACTTATTCACTAATAAAGAAGAATTTGCCTCTAGGGCGCCTTATTTTGCTTACGTTTCACGTTAGAAGGACACAGCGTGATCTTGGGTTTCCTGTGCCACTAATGTGTGACTTCCAGAACGATGGCTGATATAAGGAATCGTCTAGTAAAATGGTGTGTTTGTTGTTTTTAGTCAGTAGGACGTGTATCAGCAGGTGACAGAGGCTTTCTGGGTAAACATCAAACTGTGGGCATGGATTTTCATCCTAGACTTGAAAACAGTACCCTGGACCCAAAGTGAATTTTATCTAGCTCTAAACTGGTCACTTTGAAGTTACTTTTAATAGTTAATACTTATATATATTGAGGCTCTTATCTGGAAAGTAATTACTTGAAAGCTGTGCTCTTTCAAGCTAAACCAAAAATTTGATAGTTTTTTGTCAATTTAATTAGGATGAGGAATTCAAAGTCACTGACAAAGAACTTCTAACCAGGCCAACGACATCACTAGGAAAAAGTCAAGCTTCTGCAATGCCACTTTCAATTGAAAACCTAGTGGAGTCAGACAAGGATCCTTGTGACGTAGAGGAGAACTTTTCCCAACAACTGTTTTCGTTTGCCTGGCAAATGGCTAAAGGAATGGTAATTATCTTTGTTTACTGGATAATGTTGCTGGGATTCTGATTCTGAGTATAGCTTGGAAAGAAGAATTCAAAAGTCAATGTTTTATAAACATGAAATAGATGGGATAAATACATTGTCTGTTTTTCTAGATATGAGTACATTAAAATGGCTTATATGGAAAAAAAGTTCTTTTCTGTCGACCCAGTTTTGGTTAAATTCGTTTCGTTATGCATCTAAACGAAAATATCTGGATCTGATCATTGCAGATATTTGCTTTTCATTTGTATTTTTTCATCTATACTTAACTACTTAGTGTTCAGCAGGTGGCCAAGGTTTTCTGGGTAAACATCAAACTGTGGGCATGGATTTTCATCCTAGACTTGAAAACAGTACCCTGGACCCAAAGTAAATTTTATCTAGCTCTAGACTGGTCACTTTGAAGTTGGCTCTTGTCTGGCTCAAGCAAATTATGTTATTTTTATCTTTTTATCCGTTAGTTGCTTATTTACTAACAAGGAAAGTAATTACTTGAAAGCTGTGCTGTTTCAAGCTAAACCAAAAATTTGATAGTTTTTCATCGATTTAATTAGGATGAGGAATTCAAAGTGACTGACGAAGAACTTCTAACCAGACCAACGACATCACTAGGAAAAAGTCAAGCTTCTGCAATGCCACTTTCAAATGAAAACCTAGAGGAGTCACACGAGAATCCTTGTGACGTAGAGGAGAACTTTTCTACCAAACAACTGTTTTCATTTGCATGGCAAATAGCCAAAGGAATGATAATTATCTTTGTTTTCTGCATTATGTTGCTGGGATTCTGATTCTGAGTATAACTTGGAAAGAAGAAGCCAAAAGTCAATATTTTATAAACATGAAATAGATGGGATAAATACATTGTCTGTTTTTCCAGATATGAGTACATTAAAATGGCTTATATGGAAAAAAAACTTCTTTTCGGTCGACCCAGTTTTGGCTAAATTCGTTTCGTTATGAATCTGTGCTTAAATACTTTGGATTAGATCAGTGCCGATATTTACTTTTCATTTGTATTTTTTCATCTATACCTAACTACTTAATGTTCGGCGTACCCCCGCTATTATTTTTTGAGATCATTTTTAATCGTTTTTTCGTTGCTTAATTGTTATTAGAATCATCTCGCCGAAAACAATCTTGTTCACAGAGACCTTGCTGCCCGTAATGTTCTTGTTGGTCATGACAACCAGATCAAAGTGTCAGACTTTGGGTTGATGAGACAAATCTATGAAGATGTGAGCAGCACAGCGAAGTCCAGAAAACTTCCTGTAAAGTGGATGGCCCCTGAATCACTTTATCAAGGGGTTTACACGACCAAAAGTGATGTGTGAGTGATGAGTTTTCCCGCTCCCTTGACAACGGAACTATTGAAACTTTTCTACTGAATAACTTCTCAAAATTGTATTTGCCGTCAAAATTACAGAAGCATAAAACTCTGAAGCGCCTAAATCCCCTTATACTTTTTCATAACCATGCTAGGGTTTTTAGCCGTCCAATTAGAAGCACGGAAAATTGTTTGCCCAAATATGGAATCATAGTATAGAAGGCATCTCCGTCGAAATATATAGCTGCTAAAAACGGATTCTTCCGATCCAGTCCTTAACAGCTTTCCAATTACACCCAAAACTCAAGAGTACACGCATTTTTGGGCTGCTCCCTGGGCAGCAAACAAACTATAAATGCCGTGAATCTGTACATATCTTCTGGTTTCTCTCATAGTTGGTCTTTTGGTGTTGTTCTTTGGGAAATGGCTACCTTGGGTGAGTGGACAGTAATTTTGTAGTTTATAGTTGTCATGTTAAATTTGAGGTGACTGACAAAGTAAAAAAGCATTTTTCATAATCTATGACTCTTATCGACCGTAGAAATGATGTCGAAATGTTGAAAACTCGTGTACCACCCGCAGGATAATGGTTTTACACTGCAAAGTTTTGAGCTCTCCAAGGGAATTAAGGGGACCGTGCCTTAACCCACCTTCCCCTCTTTGCCATGGTGGGATGTGGCTTAACTGTTACGATTGTTATTAAGGTTGCTGCCTCCAGGAAGGGCGAAAACAATGTTTTATAATGTTTCATTTGCGGCAAGTTTGAATTTTCTTGTTTGATCTGGGCTCTGTTTTAATTGATTAAGTGCATTTGAGACAAGTACGTACATCTCCTAGATGATAACCGTATGTGACAATACATATTTTAATATGTCAAATTTTAAAATTTGGGAACATTTGATGACTGGAAACGAGAAGCCTTATTGTTAATCACCCTGGAGTGCCTTCTTTCATTACACATTTAACTGCATTGGCTCTATACCAGACCTCCATTCAATCAACCATTTTTGCAAAATGGCCCTGTTGAGTTTATATGAGGAGGAGTGACAATCGACTAAGGCATCTTTAATAGAAATCTATCTAGAGGAAAATTGCATGTATTCAGTTGCTGATATATAATCATTTGTTTTCTTTCTCGCAATTGTCAGGAGGCGTACCATACCCCACGCTGACCAACTCAGAGTTGTATCGACTGCTCGGTACTGGTTATCGCATGGAAAGGCCTGACATGTGCTCCGATGACGTGTACGTTTCTTGATTAGATTGGTCTTAGATTTAACAAACAGATTCGATTTTTCTGTGCGTCTGCTCGATCAGTTACATGTCACACCGAACGGTGCAGCATACGAATTCGTCAAATATTTTAACACTTTCTTTGATCATATTAAGTACTGACCAGACGGACGGCAGGGGAAAACTTTTAATGGGGTCCTCACTCTTTGAACAAGGAAACCCTTCATTGGCTTTATGGTCAATAAAGGCATCATTAGTAGTGATTAGGTTAATCTCTTTCCTGGGTTCGGGGGAAGTACTCCATGTACTAGGGAGGCACCCCAGTAGTCTACTATGTTGAAACTTAACCCCCTTTGGTGTCTAGCACGGTCTAGCTAGGTCTAGTCTATGACGTCACCGATTGTTCTAACCTGGGGAAAAAGTGGATTCCCTTTATTAATATGTATAAGTGTCTTCCTGCATACTAATTTGGATTAGGTTTACTAATGAGTGTCACTCTACTACAATAGGAACAATAGGCTTGTCTAGACTTACCCGGGCTCTTTTAACCCTGATTGGATAGTAAACAATCCATTATGTGTTCAACATAAAAGCGCGCTCACCGTTCAGCATTTTATTATTGTCACAAACTCCAGTAAATAATATTTTTGAGCGGATAGCTTCCAAACATACTAGTCAACGGTCCGAAAACAGTACTCGACTTAAAACTATTCACTGTGACCAAAGATAAATATTTTTAATCTACAAAACCATTGATTCTGTTTTGTCAATATAATTCAACCTTCAAACGTTTCTAGACTGTGGTATCGAGCGTTAACCATTAACAGGTTGGCCTTTTTCCTTTTAGACCTGTATCATACGAAACAAAACGAACGCAAGCGAACTGTATTTTATTATTCATCGCAAACTAATTTAATATACACTGAGCCAACATGAACGCTTGTCGCATAAATTATCCACGGGAATCAACTCAATTATATATAAACAATAGCGTGAATGCGCTTGGGTGAACATCTTAAAAGCTTTTATTTCTTCGAATCTTACAAAGCAAAAATACATTTATTGTAGTAACTCAACAACTTAAGAAAAAGGATTACAATATGGTGAGCAAATGATTAAAGCCTAGAAAGTGCCTCTCCCTCTAGCTCTTTCGATTGCTTTCGTTTCTTGAAGAAATGCTTGGACACTTGGTTCGTCTTCGTGTATATAAATCCACTTTCTTTTGCCGTTGGAATAATGTTTTATTTTGACGGGCCAGTAATTTTCAGATGCAAACATGACTGTGGGGGTATAAGGGTTAACAGCATTTCGAGTGCTCGTGTACATCTCGCAAAGGCCAAACCCTTCTGGAATAGCTTTGAGATAGGGCGCTCCATGTAAATAATTCTGCAAGGCGGACCAGGTCATCCCACACCAATCCAGATCAAACGGTTTCGGTTTACGCGTAGATGATTTAGCTTCACCATATTTCGGGGGCACAATAAGATCCTTTGGGGGGATCGATTCCACCTCTCCCTCTGGTTTTAAGGTTTTGTTGATACTTGGGTAAACTCGACAAGAGCCAAAGATGTCGCTCAACACCTGCTTATTTGCCGCCGTGTCCGGTTTATTATCTACAAAGATGTAACCGTAAGGCCTCTCTGTTTCCTGATAATAAGCTGTCATGAATCGTTGGCGATTCTTATCAAACATACGCTCAGCAACAATTCCGATTTGTTTCCGATCGCTAGGACTTCGGAAAAGAGCCATGTACTGTGCATTCCGACTGATATCGGTGTTAAATTTTCCCTTGGGGAACATATTCTGAAGGAGCAGTATGACGCTGGCATTTCCATGGCGACCTTGGGTAAACAACCGAGAAACGATGGGGCTTTCGATCGCTTCTGCCATTAGATCATCAAAGATGATAACGTTGTTGTATTTTGGGTCAATTTCTCGCAGATCTTCTTGAAATGTGGGAAGGCCACGAAAAAATTTAATGTCCTTTCCGATCGCTGATTTCAAAGCTTCGTATCTATCTTGCCACTGACTGTAATACCATAAAATGCGACGGGGCTTGTTGGTTTCGTAGACAATACGATCTCTCGTTAGAATCTGTTCTACGAAAACTGTTTTCCCTGATTGACTTGGTCCAACCACAAGGAGTGAGAACTTATGGCGAAACATAAAATCTGGATAAGGCTCGGTTGCCAAGGAAACATCATGGGAAAGCTTTACCTTCTTTGCAGTAGAAGAAGTTTTCGGCGTTTCGTTTACTGGTCTCCTTCTTTTTCTTGGTTCACATATTTTTCTCGTGGAACTAGATGAACAACGAGGTAAGTCGACGCTTGTAGAAATATATTCTCTTTTTGATTCCCAAGAAACCTTAGCCTCTTTTAAGAGTCGTGTTCGTCTTAGCCCGGTTAAGTCATGGACAATTTCAAGATGAGAACTCAAGTTGGACACACCAGGTTTGCCACATAGCGGACAAATTCGAGGAAACGTTCGAGGCATGACTGCTTGCGAAAAATGACTCACAGTTAACAGAATCATTTAATATATAGTTATTTTACAATGGTGGGGAGTACTTAAGAGAATTCAGGGGTACAGGAGGGGTACAGGAAGGGTACAGTAGGGGTACAGGAAGGGTACAGTAGGGGTACAGGAGGGGTACAGGAAGGGTACAGTAGGGGTACAGGAAGGGTACAGTAGGGGTACAGGAGGGGTACAGGAGGGGTACAGGAAGGGTACAGGAGGGGTACAGGAGGGGTACAGGAGGGGTACAGGAAGGGTACAGTAGGGGTACAGGAGGGGTACAGGAGGGGTACAGGAGGGGTACAGGAAGGGTACAGGAGGGGTACAGTAGGAGTACAGGAAGGGTACAGGAGGGGTACAGGAGGGGTACAGGAGGGGTACAATGAAAGTTCATAGAGTTCCGTTGTGCTTTGCAGCCGTGCCTCCATCGATAGCTATAAAAGAAGTAAGGCGCTGTTTCTGATTCAGTCAGTTCTTAAACCTCGTGCAGTTCGGATCACAATGTTCAGCAATTATAATCGTTTCGTTCAAAAAGGATATGGAAATTTTGAAGTATTTATCCTTCTGAGTTTCAATTTAGTGAACTATTAGAGCAACTGAACACATGTAATTCTACAAAGTTTCAGTTCGACAGGGTTCTTCATTTTGACAGAATACGTTTGAATATTCTAATTTAGTACATACACACTCAGTGATCTTGGTAATTCAAGCAATCTGATTGGCTAGCTATTTCGGACTATGACGTTATATTCACCGCGCTAGGCGGTGAATATGTAGCAGAACGAAATCGCTGTCGTGAACTGGGTGTTTTACCAAAGTTTCATAGTAAAGCCTTTTTGAAAATACACGAATATTCATGTGCTGATGACTTTAAAGGCAAGGAAAGACTTCATGGTGTTTAAACAGCGTGATTTATTGTGAAGTGGTTTATTTTGCTAGTCGAAGTATATGAAAGGGTAGGGAAATCTATCATTTTGGTCTGTAAAATGACTTCAGAGAACCAGATAAGATTTTCTGGCTGTGAAAAAGTCGAGAAAATTTTGTAGTCTGTTATTTATTCGTATTCAAAAGGAAATACATTTTTCAGCAATTAAAAGAGATAAAGTTAAAGTTCTTTTCTGTCAATAATGATACTCAAAAGGATAAGGGGTTGGACCTCGGGGCAGAGCTTTACATAATAATGGCTGGATGAAGGAATAGGGAATCGCGTGATAACCAAAACGTTCCAAGAGCCCATTTTAATGGGCTTTACGTGGAAGCTTCACCCAAAAGGAGTACCTTTTTAGGCCACATGTATTATTTTGGAAAGGTAGGAATTTCACGAGCTAAAATGTTTGAAATGATGGGAAATTTTGTAACTTCGGTAATTTACACTAAAAGATATTTTAAACAGAGGTGCCTTTATTGTATACTTAATGTTAAGGGCTTAATGGCTTAAAAAGTGAAGTAGTCGTACCATTGTTTCAGGATAGGCAGGAAAGGAATGTATACGAAAGGGGTACAAAACGTATAAAAGGAGTTGGACCTCAGGGTGGAGCCTCCCTGTAAACTCATGAAGCTAAGGCCCGGTTCAGACGCCGCTCCACTCATGTGCCGAACCTAACTGATGAATTAAGTACGGCAAAATAGCGGCGTCTGAATCAATTTGTTACGGCAGTTTTAGTTTGGTGCGGCAAAAGCGTTAAGTTCGACAGAGTCCGTCGAACTTTTGTCGAACTTAACTTAGGTTCGACACACGGTACGCCGTCTGAATCAGATGTCGCGCCAGTGTCGCTCCAAAGTCGAACTTATTCAGTTAGGTTCGGCACATGAAAAGTACGGCGTCTGAACCAGGCCTAAGACGCCTATACATTCTACTAAAAAAATTTCTTTTATTCCAATAGACCTCTTTCGCTTGTATGTTTTGTTTTGCCAATACAGTTCATGTCTAACGGTCAAATTCCCCTGGGACCTATTTTGCGAAATCAAAACATACAAGCTATAAAGAGGTCTATTGACACTGTCTAATAATTGACTGGAGCTCTACTAAGCATTGAATGGTTCTTTTTTTTTTCTCCATTCATAACAGATATGAGCTGATTACTGAATGTTGGAACGAAGACCCTTACATTCGTCCCAGTTTCTACCGTTTGATCGAAAAAATGGAGGCGATAATGGAAAGGGATGCACCATATTTGAATGTAAACAAACACAATGAATATCATCCGTATTACAACGTGCCTCCTGAAGCTAGTGCTGATTGATATGGAGAAGAAGGAGCATCCCCAATAATCGGACAGTTAAAGACGGAACGAGTATAAACAGTAAATGCATAGTTATTGACTTAGAAACTAAGCTAAGAAAATACTGAAAGAATTAAAACAAACATAAAAAGAGCTTTAAGCATTAAAAAAAAAGTGCAACAGTAAGGCCCTTCAGATGTTATCAGGAGCCCATCACCCAGGGATGTAAATCTCTCTTATAGCGTTTTTAGATTTTAACTAGGCTATTTATAGATTAATCTTTCAGGCCAAGAAAAACGGGACTGAGTAGGACTTCCAGCAATCAGCGGAGGAGATCAAAGAAGTATAAAGCGATTAAGGTTTTAACTGAATGACAAACCTTAACAGTTAGCCACTATCTGAGAAGATCAACCGCCATGTTGGATTGCACCGAAGTTGTTTTTAGTGCACAGCCAATTTTTCGTAAACGAGTGACGTAATGTCTTACCCTTTCACCGACAATGCAATGCAAAGAGGATGATATCTGGTTGCTAAAATGCTCGTCATTCAGAACGTTGAAAACTTTCGGGCTGAAACTGATTTTACATGTTTATTAAGCACCCACAGATTTATCATATAATAACCATGTAGTTTCTCTACTGGCTCAGAGTTGCAATTAAAACAAACTTTTTTTAATGTTTTTAGAAGACAGTTATCGGGTTAAGTACCCTTCTTAAAATACAAACTAGCATTAGCTCTAGCCTTTGGATGAGATAGTTCCATGACAAAAAAAACGTACCTTAAAAAAGAGAGAGAAACAGAGAGCCTCCAAAAAGGAGAAAAAACTTAACGAAAGGGCCTTAAAACATCCAGCTTGGTAATTTAGGATACAAAAAAAAGCTGTGATCTTAGCCCCAGCATTTGTAAGGTGAAATCTCGCTTATAATTAGATGCCCCTGGGTTTCAGGGCAAGATGGGACAAAAGTGTTTCTTCAGTGGGCCTCCCGTGGCTTTAAACTCTCACTAGAGTATAGGGTGACTTAAAGTCAGTATATACATTAAAAAAACCTTGCAATGCCAGGTTGGAATGAAGAATTACCCGTCTTCTATATTCACTGGCATTCCTCCACGGACTCCGCACTCCCATGCTTCGGTGGAGTTTCAAAGGATTTCTGACTACAAGTTACCCTGTATTTATTACTGTCAGTAGTGTACATTATAAACAAAGGGGTTTAAACAAGAATCTAGGGATTACATATTTAACTATTGTTTTAACGCTTTACAAAATCCTTACGACATATATAGACTGGATGAAATACCTGTAACGCTATCAGTATGATTAAAATAACATTGTTCCGCACTTGGCTTGCTTTATACTTTAGCATTTCTCATTTCAAATTAGTAATCATGTACATGATATGACCATTGATTGACTGCATGACCTGATAAGTCATTAACGTCGCGGTATCCCTTTGTTGGTCCGTCAGTTAAGCCATGGTGCCCTAGTGTCACGTTTTTTTTTTAAAAAAAACTAAAACGTCCTTTGTCATAGTTATATCTTTCCTTACATTTGTCGGCAAATTGCAAGTTACAATAACAAACAATTATTCCATACATTCTTGCCATTGCTTCCACGTGGTCTAATTGATTAAAACAAGAAACGCCTAAGACGTTTGACCTCGGTGGGCATGAAAGAGCATACAAACGTGTGCGCATTACTCAAGTGTCGTGATTTTACTGGCTGATCACCAATCACGTCTCCATAGATCCCTTTTGGCCACGTGTTAAGTGTCGTGACACGTTTTTGGTGCTGACCAGAGAGAAAACGGGCTCTTGAGACGAGATTGGCTGATGCCAACAGCTGCAAAGAATCCAACAAACCAGTCATAGCTGTTATTAATAACAACGCCAAAACAATCAGCTTGTACCACTAAATCAAAAACGAATGCCGCGTGGGTGCAAGAAATGTTTGAGCCAATTTTAAGCGCAGTAATGTCAAATCAAGCGCACAGTCAATGGAAGGCTACCCTGGATGCCAGACATCTTCCCGCTCATCAGCGGCGATGGAGAAGCGTAAAGAGCGAAGTGCTAAACGGTGCTGGCTCCAGTTGTTCAAAACGTGGATAAAGCTATCCGCTGGTTAAATCTCTATGTAGTGGATAACGCAATTAGTTTCCCTATAACACTCATCCACTGGATAGTGATTTATCCGGTGGATAACTCTATTCATCTTTTGAACAACCAGAGCCTGGTCGGCGAGAGAAATTTTCTGTCTCTTCGCTTCGCAACTCGCTTTCGCGGGTTCCAAAGGGAAAAAACCTCTGTCACCCTGTGTGGTTAAAGACCAAATAACGTTTTGCAAGGGCTTTTCTGGGTTAATTGCTGTAAGAAGGAGCTCCAAAATGTTAACTATATTTAACACTTTAAACTATTACAGTTAAGTAATTTTCTGCTATCATCTCCTCAGCCCTTCCCTGCCAATGTACAAATGACTATATATTGTCTCATGGCATGAGGGAAACTTCAAGGATTCAGCGTAGTCTAAGAAAATAGACTCAACGGAAAGCTTCATTATTTTCCCAAGGGATTTTTTCTTGACCAGGGCAGGGTTATTGAAAGGTGGGTTAAGATAACCTAGGGTTATTGCGAAATGTGAATTCAGGTATGGAAACTTTAAAAGTAATCCAGTTTGATCTTTTTTGCATGTGATTTGCTAATTAACTTATGCCACTGATTTGTTAATTGGATGCTCTAAAAAGAATAGAGAAAATCATCCCGGAAAATGCTTTTAGAACTTTCCAAAAAGCCCTTCGTCCTCTCATGACTTCGTCCCTCGCTTGGCCACCAGTCGCGGCCTAAAATTAAGTCTAAAAACGGTGGCCCATATCTGCAAACACAACAAACATTTCTTGAAACACAATATATTCCTGGAACACAACAAACATTTTTCCAAACACAACACGGTATTAACCAAACATAACAAAGGTTTAATTTATGGAAACACAACATAATAATATCCAAACACAACAGGATTTGTTACAAAACAAAGCATGAACCCACATTTACTCAACCGCTGAATGGTTATGCGCCTTCCCCGCATACGTCAATCTGTCGCAAGAATGGATGTGTTTTTTAAGCGCTTGAACTGATGAGAAGAGCTCGAAGGAAACTCACCAATACTACTCTAGATGTGGAGAAGCCGTAAACAAAGAGAAGGTTCTCATACGTCATTATTTTCAGCGTGGGTTTGATTACTCGGTTATATTACTCTCTTCAGAACAGTACCATGCAACGGCATGTCTATGCGTACTTGAACTATAGGCTTCGCGAGTACACGGATTAGAAGAAGGAATACGAACAGTAATGTTGGCGAAATTTATCAGGCCATTCAACAAGAATTTTGTTTTGTGTTTTGCAAATGTTGTGTTGTGTTTCAATAATCCGTGTTGTGTATCGATAAACTTTTGTTGTGTTTAGATAATACCGTTTTAAGTGTTTGTTGTGTTCCAGGAATATTTTGTTGTGTTTCAAGAACTGTTTGTTGTGTTCGCAGATATGGGCCACCGTTTTACGCTTAATGCTTTTGAATAAAGGAAAAGAAACGCGGATTAAAATATAACCCCGGATTAGCACTAATCGGCCTTCGAAGAACTGGGCCCAGAAAATTAGCAAGGTTGTTTTTATTGACGAAAATTAAGAGCCCTTTTCCAGTTGTCGTCGCTTGTATACGTTCCCCATAACACGTGAAATTAGACAATTAGTTTCACGTCATTGTCGCACAGGGGCAGCCAAAGTTAAGATTTACAGGAATTTACAGGAGTCTTCATCTTTAAGTTTTAGAACAGAATTGAAAATCGAGAGTAGCCCTCGTTTAACTTAACCTTGTTTAGAACAAAGCGACCTCGGATTAGTAAATCAGATCAATTCACATTTCAACACTCGAAAACAATGCATTTTCTAATCTGCATAAGGCATAAAAGTAACCTTACACTACCTTATGTTTTAATTACATCGCTTCGAGATCAACTGCCTTAGAACTCTCGTACATGCAAAATGGAATTTTGAGCATAATTCAGACCATAAACAAACCAAATTGTTGACAAGAAGTCCTTATTCTGTATTTGGTAAGTGAAAATGAATTGTCAAAGCCAAATCAGTTTCGTTGTTTAGAAATACACCGACTCTTACCTTAAAATTGATCTAAAACGGGTCTCTAATTAGCACAACAAACACATGATTTAGCAGAAAAGGGTGATTTTTTCCTTTGAAAACCTAGTAACCATCATCGAACACAAATGATAATGTTCTGACCTGGATATAACGATCTTTTTACAAGATGCTTAAATTTTTCTTTGATTTATATTCAGTTTCATGTCATATTTCTAAGCATTACTCCACAAGCATGGAAAGTCTCCATATTTTGTCAGGCCCATTTTTTATATTTTTACCAGATAAAGTTAGCTAACAAAACGTTCGTTAATATATATTATTATTCATTCAAAATATTTCCCCAATTCTGATTGGCTAAAAGCACACGCATAATTCACCGTAACCAGTTACTGATGATCAAATTTGGAAGAATTTAGTGTTTAACGAGGAAATGACGTCAAAAATGCAGCCTTCTACAGGTTAATGCACCGTTAACCGAGAGGACCTGGGGACAAGATTGAGGTGTTTTCGTTGTAAAAACTAAAATGGAGGACGCTTCACTCGTTTCAAGAGTAAGAACTACAGCTGGAACTAGGCGAAATAATGGCTGAAAACATAGTAAAAACAGCAAGAAGACAACTCGGAGGGCGACATCTGCTATTTGGAGAATTTTTGCGAAGCTGGACAAACCTAATCGTAAACTATCGAAGATAATCCTAATAACATCGATGCAGGTAAGCTTGTTTTAGCTATGTTTTTAAACTAAGAATTATTTTGAATGAATAATAAAACAACTATTGAATTCGGCTTTCCTATCATATGAAGAATTAAGGAGATCTCGGAGGACGGCCTCGACGGATAACACCCTCCTGGACCTCCATAATTCTTCATAA